TAGTGTTAAAGGCACATGTTCATGGAAATACCCACGTTATCGGTGTATATACAATAGAACCACATGTTATATTTCACAAGTCCAAAAATATCTGCACCAGCTATGCACATATTTCTTACCTCATTATTGATTAGTATCTAACAGACTGAGTGTGAACTCAGTTTGTTATCCTTATTTTCTGCCGTGTGGTTATTGCGGTGAATTGTATTGCACAAAATTATCAATTCATTAGAGGAAGCATTACTTCAATAAAATAAACATTATTAAGATTCAATTAGGTAGTAAGGTACAATTAAATGACATAAAAAGTAACACAGCATATTATCTAGTCTAAGAGAAAAAGCTACATGTAGTGCCCGGCACTATAATTTAAATATGCAAATTAATTTACTACATCAGTCACTTTGAATTATAATTTACATTAAAAAGATATGTTTGAACAACAACATTTAACATAGGCCGTTTACAGTCTGAGTATTTCCAACTAAATTTCAAAAAATACCGTCTAGAGGATGTAGTCTACTCAATTGATTCTATACACTAGCTTGAACATTCTCTCAAAGCTACAGCTGTCTTTTGAAATACTGGTCAATTTAAAAAGTCTGCGATTTGAGACAGCCGCAACTTTTGGGCTTTGAGAGAACACTTAGGCTGGTCTTTAGATTAAATTGAAGTAAGAAATATGTACATAGCTAGCACCGACTTTTATGTCTTTTGATAAATAACATAATGTTCTTTGGATTCGGTCTGCATAACCTGAGATTTTCTTGGCACAAGATAATTACCAGGCTTACTCAGTTACTTAAAGAAGGCAATGCAAAGATAATTTCCTGAAAAAGAACAAAGAAATAAAACACATGCCTTCATACTATATTTTGTACCAGAAATTTTCAAAATATTTCCATATACACGTGCCTTTAACAGAATGTCAGTAAGTCATACGCTCAGAATGAATTATTGCTTATATTACTGTAACAGGATATTTCTAGGTCAACTTTTTTTGCCTTAGCTATGGTGGTTTTGATGACATCTAGTCTCAACAGTATATTTTCACGTACTTAGTTAGCACAAAAAGTGTATGTATATAGTATCAAAGATACAATCTGATTGAATTAGTCTGAAAATATTGCTGGTAGTTTGAAGTAACTTTCCTCAATAATGTAGACAAAATGAGTGAAGTAATTTTGACTACCAGAAATTAGTGTACCTATTAACGGTTCACAATTCTTTAGAATGTATGAATAACTAGAATATTCAGTGGTTTACTTTTCAAACTACTGTCCTATATTTTCAAAAACACATGAAAAGTTCAATATGTGAAGCAAGTGACCACATAGTTTATGACTGAAATTAGATGCCCAAAATGTGGAACAGACATGACAGAAAATAATACTATGAACTTATAACAAAAGTGTTCTAGATACTCTCATCTACTTGAATAAAGTTATATTTGAAGGCTACACATGTTGCATAATTTGACCAAATTGTCTAAAAGTCTAAAGAACAAGGAAGTAATTGCCAGATTAGAACCTATATATTGGTTCCAACATTGCAGTTTACATGTAGGTCACTGTCACATACACTGTTTTTTGTTTGGATCTAGTGTACTATATACTGCTTGTAGCTCTCAATTCAGAGTAAGGTCATGTGCCTACTAGTGTAATGTATCCTGATCTCTAGACAAGTTCACTAATTTGTTATATTGAGGTTGTAATAGTTTTATCCTGATATATTCAGATGACCTGTGTACTTTCTCAACAGACTAAATGATTATGAAAAGCAAAAATAAAAACTGAATATTTCATAATTAGTTAGATGAACTCGCTAATATTGTTCACTTCACACTTAATGTTTCCATTGGTAACTACAATATTTTTTCATTATTTATTATTTCTTCAACATAAATTACACAATTCCGGGCTCAACGATGACATCAGAAGGAATGACCATATATAGAACGTCGGTCAAATTTGGCCAACGAACACTGATTGGCGCGGTGAATTCACAGGTTTATTTTAGTTTGAAAGAGTGAAGACGAAGCTCTCTTTTAAGAAGTGAAGTCAAACAAATGCAAAGGGTATACGATTCTGTTGTCCTCTGAGCTATTTTTTCGCACATTTTTAAAAACATATTGATACTGATACACGTTTGTGAGAAAGAATGTCGTGGGGAATCTGGCTACAACGCGTGAAATAAGGAAAAAGAAAAATCGTACCTTCGACGTTCCGACAAACCTTTTCGCTAACCAGTGTAATCAAGTGGATCCCCAGTATATAGGATGTATGATATAAATTAGAAAATGTACTGATCTCACTTGAGAATGAAGATATTCTAATTCTCATTGTCTGAATTTAAAAATGTTTAAATAATATGCAGTAACTGTTTCAGAGAAAAATGTCATATTTGTTAATTTTAATGATTTTCATGTTTTTGGGGATATCATGTTTTACTGTTCCAGAAATGAAGAGGAGTTCTATGAAAGCCATGACACTGTAGAGAAAGTTATACCCTTAACAAGAGCATACCAAAGTTTTCCTTATCTTAGCATTAAGCATTATATAGGATCACAAATACATTGCAAATATGAAAGTCAGAAAAACCTGTATACAGCTAGCTGTAGCATACTTTGTTCTGTTGGCTGGGATTAAATTTCGAAATAATAAACATGACCGAGATTTGGTGTCAGACAAGTCCATACACAAAATACTCAAAAAATACATGTACATTAACTGACTTATTACCGCCTTTTAAAAGCCTGAAAGACACTCCACCCTTATACCCCTATAGAATACTCCCCCACAGACTACCACCACCACCCCCTATTATTAACCCCCCCCCCTTCATAATGCCTTTGCAAATACCCCCCCCCAGAATATTCCATGGTCAATACCCCCCCCCAGAATATTCCATGGTCAATACCCCCCCCCCCCCCAGAATTTTTTCGGTCTCCTACCCCCCCCCCAGAATTTTTTGGTCTCCTACCCCCCCCCCCCCAGAATTTTTCGGTCAACACCCCCCCCCCCCAGAATTTTGCATCCATACCCCACGTACATTTTTTAAATGGAATGGCCCAATTTTACAATCGGGATTCGGGGTACCAGATACTATTCTCGATTCCGGAATCAGGACATTGATACTTCCCCGATGGTAAAATTGTGGAGATTGATCAATCAATTGACTTACCCATGGACTTTTGTGATTTTGCCATGCATACTCCGGTATCCCATTGCTGACCCACTGCCATGATCTATCTCTTGAATGATAGCGTCAGCAACTGTGCCAATGGCAGTTTTATCGAATTTTCTTGAGAGCCCCATCTTCTTTAAATCCCTCTTGATCTGTCTCTCCGAAAGTGTAATTCCATGACGGAACTTTAACAACATGCCGATCTCCTTGTACGTAAAACCGTCTTCAAAGTATGTGGCTATACATTCATCTCGATCTGACTCCATTTCTTCTTCGATTATAAGTCATGACACGCCGCATCTAGATTCTACAAAATCTCCTTTACAGAAGACTTTTGTAAAATTAAAATACTTATGCATTTTCAATATTAGTTTTGTAAAATTATTTTTTATTTTGCAAAATTATTTTTATAATTCTATACTTTTGGAAAATTATTTTGAAAATAATATTTTGAATTGCAAAAGTCCCATCGTATTTTATAAAACTATTTTTAAAATCTGTAAACTAATTTGATTTCTTTAAAGTAATCTAGGTATTTTTCCATAAATATAAAAAATAAATAAATTGAAAAATGAATTTCGAAATTACAAAAATCAAATCCTGTTTCATTCAAGTTTTTAGATTTTAGATAAGTATTTTGTGAATTTTTATAAGTTTTTTAGATTTAAAACAGAAAAATCGATTTTTCATTTAATATTTTGATATATTACAAAACTAAAATTGTGTTTTATTAAAGTTTTTAGATTTTATATAAGTACTTTGTGAATTTTTATAAGTTTTTTTGAGATTTGAAAAATTAAAATTGATTTTTTTTTAATTTGAAAAATATGTCCCTTTTAAAGCTTCGTAAGGGAGACTCTCGGATGTTACTTTGTACATCTACGCCTAATGCACTAGGCTCTGAGCCACTTGGGTAGCGGTCAATAGAAATTTTCCTTTTATAGTTTGCTTGTTAGGCAGGTAACATTTATTAAATAGGCGAGTCACATTTCAATTCTTTTCTTCATCTTTGCTAACACCAAACAGTGTATTTGATTGGATTGGTCAATTTTAAAGTAGATTTGAAAAGAAAACAAATATTTAAAAAGATATCAAGACAGACTATTTGCGGTCAATCGTAACACGTTTATTGTGTCGATTTATCATATTTGAATTAATGTTAATTGAATGCATATTATTTACAGAGGTTATAATTGTCTCTTGTTTCGGTCACTTGGTAAAAATTGTGATGCGACAATACAGACGGGGAGACAAACGAACTATGAGATGCCACAACCCAAAGTTCAAATAAGTTGCAATATCTACAACATAATACCCCAATTGTCTCCTGAAGCAAAAGTCTTGCAGTCTCTCTTTGAGTTTTTTGGTTGGCGTATGGGAGCCCTTCGTGCAACTGTGGAATAAAACGCTCTGAGGATTTGAGTTCTATAGATTATCTCAGATCAATCATGGCTCAAAATGTAACTTCAAATACAGTAATATCAAGCTGGCTGAACGCAGAAGGGATGGTGTCCCTAAAACAGAAGCTCTACCTCTATACTTCGGATCCTAAATAACTTCAAAATATACTTTTATACAACCCCCATATTATGTTAACAATGTATAACACTGATACTAATTTGATTCAAGTTGATTGATTGATTTATTTAACATAAGGTTAAAGTTATCTTAAATTTAAAGATTAAGATGACTTACAAATATAATTTTATTACAATAATATGACAACACATTTATTTACTATTTACATAATCAAAGTTTGTTGTTTACAAGCCTAATGGAGCATAACTTTCAATATCCTTTTATTGTTTCATCATCTTTGAACTTATTTTTTATTCATCTTTCACTTTTAAAGTTGCGAGGAAAGTTGAGCCTTATGACGATGACAAGTACGCTGTTTCATGTTGGTTTTGTTTTGATCATATCAATAGCGCAGATTGCTAGTGAAAAATGTGATCCAGAAGAGATAACTAATTCTGGCTGTAAGTAGTTCTTAATAATTTCAAACAATTTCTATGAATTGCTGTCGACATTTCGAGCACGCATGCGCACTATTGTGATGTACAATTGATAGGTCGCATTTTCGGAGCATGGCTTTGAATCGTCTCATTGTGGATCGGATAACCATTGATGAACATACTCACTGCGGTGTAACCCCTGAGTGCAACTTAAAATTGGTTACGAAAACTGATCCGATTCGATAACAAAACGGAACAGCCTCGAAGGTAGTACCCCGGACAGGTTGTATGATGCAGTCATTTTTTTACTCTATATTTGCAATAGAACAACCATTCTTATAAAAATTTTCATATGTTATTCTGGAGACAATTTCCAACATGGAAAAAAATATTTTAACGAAATTCCCAATTTTATGATTTTGACAGGCTTTTTTCAAAAACACTACACTGTCAATAAAATACAGGTTTTTGCTTGAACAATTGAACTTTTAACGTCATTTCAAATATTGTCTGGCCTATTGAATTTTCGGCCGCCTAAAGTCTTTCCAGATATATCTGTTGGCATATTAATAACTATGGCTGATTATTGTTATTCACTTGAGTCATATTCAATATTATTACAGTGGACCAGGACAATAAAAACTTGTTGCTCTGGGTCTTGTTTTGTGAAATGTTCCCTAGATTGAGCCCAGATAGAGGAGGTCAATCTTCTTGTCCACGGACATGAGTTCAACCCGATTCGAACTGTTCAATACTGTCCAAAATGAAGTAAAACATTACGAATCTCCAATTTCAAGTATTCTTGGCATTAGATCCTTCAGATATGTTAATATAGCTGTGTCAAATTTTATCATGAAATTGTCAGGGAGACCTGACATTTTAAAAGCATGGTACAATTTACGTGCCATGGGCTTGCATGCTGAGTGATGGTGGCGGAAAAAACCAGTGGAGAAAAAGGTGCGTTATCAGAGGAAACATGACTCAGAGTGACAAGTTTTTCATTGGCCTAATGCACTGTTACAATATTAGGCCTATTGAATATGACAAAAATAAATAACAATAATCAGCCATAATTAATATGGCATCAAATACATCTGGAAAGACTTTAGGCTGCCAAAAATTCAATAACTAGACAATCTTTGAAATGACATTAAAAGTTTAATTGTTCAAGCTAAACCTGTATTTTATTGACAGTGGAGTGTTTTTGAAAAAAGCCTATCAAAATCATAAAATTAGGAATTTCGTTAAAATATTTTTTTTCCATGTTGGAAATTGTCTCTAGATTAAAATATGAAAATTTTAATAAGAATGGTTGTTCTATTGCAAATATAGAGTAAAAAACGACTGCATCATACAACCTGTCCGGAATAGGAAATAAGGAATTCTTAGGGCGGAAAAGGCCGCCCTTTGAATCTGGAGCATGGATGGATTCAAGCAATGCCATAAAACGGAATAATAACGCGTAACGTGATAAGGCGGATGGCCTTTCTTGTCATACGGTCCTAATTTTACGTTGTCTCCTAAATAATACTCAAGTGATCAAATTCTTTGCGTTTTTGCAGTATGTGCTGACATTGTGTTTGGCTTCGATACTTCCTGCAGCATAAATGGATCAACAAAAGAAGAAATGAAACAATTCGCTCTGGAGTTTGTCGACCGATTTAGTGAGCGTATAGGCATGCCAGATTCGGAAAACAAAGCTACTTTTACCCAATTTGGCTTGCTGAGGTTTGACATCAGTGCATCAAAGGTTTTTGGCTTTGGGGAAGCTCCAACATCTGATGAAGTCGAGGCTGAAATTGATGAATTTGATTATGCGGAAGTCGACTGTAAAACAATAACTCACTTGGCTCTCGAACTAGCAAAAACAGACTTTTTCGAATCAGATAAAGTCGACACGAGAACTCCAAATATTCTCATCCTGCTAACAGACGGCCGAACGCAACCACAGAAATTCATCGATGAAATGAACAGAGCACGTGCCGAACTAAATATCAACAACACCTATGTTTTAGTAGTACAAGTTCCAAACAAGAACGACAAGACTGACGAGATGCTGACAACAGAGCAACTGCTGGTCTTAGCTCCATTAGACGAGGATAGGTTTACATACGACTCAACAGTTGACATTGAAGTTCTTGCGGATCAAGTGTATGAGAGAATTGGAGAAATCGTTCCATGTCCAGCATGCGTTTGTAAGTAACAGTTCAACAGATTTATTCATCCTAACACAGTGGAGTCAGATAGGTGTTCAATTGCACTTGCTATGTATACAGCACCATTTTTTAAGTATCATCAATACATATATTTTTGATATCTAACGAAGTGGTGTTGAAAAGAAGTGGTGTTGAAATATGGCTTTACTAAAGTATTCTTTTCTCAAAAATTCCAGTATGGAACAGCAGAACAGTTAATAAGTGATAAAGCCTATATTCCTATAAGGATGTTACAATCACATGATCATCTTCAAAATAAGAAGGGTTAATTTTTTTCTTTAACCTCGTTCCAAAGATACTGGCGTTTGAATTTTTGAAAATTCCCATTGACTGCCATAAACGGCTATTAATATGGCTTTATTTAGTGTTCGTTTAGGTAGCGGTTTATAATGGCCGCCAATGGGGATTTTCAAAAATCCAAACGCCAGTATCTTTTGAACAAGGTAAAAGAAAAATTTAACGGTTAAACCCATCTTATTTTGAAGATAATCATGTTATTGTAATATTGTAACATACTAGGAATAAGGGCATTATTACTTTAGAACTGTTCTGCAGCCCTGGGGTCTATTGAAGATTGATAAATTAACATGGAGCCCAATGTAAATGTGCAAAGTTTTCGAGGCTTGTTATTATCAACTGGGGCCACTTTTCAACACCACTTCGTGATTGATTCGTTAGCTATCAAAATATAACGTATGAAATAAACGTATGTCAAAAATGGTGCTGCAAGTGCAATTCAAGGGTTTTATTGCCACAACTGACTCCACTAACACTTTGTAAACGATATACGAACTTACATGTATATTTGGCCCTTACAGTATGCCTCTCCTCATTTGATTTTCAATTAGTGCCGATAAGAGGCAATAAACACTTTTTTATTTCACACATTTCCAAAACGACTGTACCTATACCTGTATAGCTTTACCTATATGAATGGAGACAATCAAACTGTCTAAAACTGTCAATGACCTCTGCTAAATAGAAAAATACAATGTCAATATTCAATGCTTAAGCTGGAATTCTCTCATTGAATTGTATTTCAAACATCGTTAATATTTTTTATTTTAGCTGAGGATGTTCCTTGCGACGAGGCGGATCTTGATGTCCTTGTTATAATTGATCACTCGAATAGCATTATAAGTTCAAACTTGGAAATCGTACGGAATAACACGAAGAGACTCGTTAACGCGTTCGAAAATGTCGGAGACTCCCGGAACCCAGAAAAGGGAAGTGTCAAGTTTGCATTAATCTCGTACAACAATAGGGTGAATCCAATCCTGTACTTTAATAGTTCAGGAGCTAGCACAAAAGAGGGCACTCTTGAAGCGATAGACAATGCGGACTTGTCTCAAGCCAAAGACACACGCACCGATTTAGCCCTCAAATTTGCCGATGAAACCATATTTAACCAGGATTATGGTGATCGAAAAGAAGCGCAAAACGTAATTGTTATTTTTACTGACGGTCGAACCATGAAGGCAAAGTTTCAGAACAATACAATTAAAGTGGCACAGAAGATAAAAGAACGGATGGATGGGCCAAACAGCACAAGCGTTGAAATATTTTTGTTGGGACTACCAGGTGCCAACGTTGAAAAAAACAGAGTGCAACGCGAAAGAGAATGGAATCTCATTCCTTCACAACCTTTAGATAAACATTTTGAAGAATTTAAAACTTTCACAGAAATTGAGTTCTTCATCGCAGAAGTAACTCGACGAATTTGTAATATTGCTTAATCTGATTTGCTGAAATTTCTCCATGTAGTAAAAACGACAAAATCATTGAATATAAACCTTAAGATAACATCTGCGTATAACCACATTTTCTCTCTGTTATTTGTAAGTTGCTAATTTATTATAAATTGTTTTGAACTAGTCTACATTTTCGGTAAACGGGTCAAGTTAGAAAATATTGCAAGTTTGAAAGGCCTATTTGATATATACTTAAAGGTTTAAAGTGTCTCACATATTCGATCAAAATTTGCCATGCAAACATGTTAGTCTACTTTACTGGCCCCCCTTGCTGTAACAAGGAACCCAAAACACATTAAAACGTAAACATAAACCAATTAGTCACTTCACTATGAAAGTGAGGGGTGTACGCTGTGTGCATGGCCTAACACAATATCAGTGGTCATTTACTGTGTCAACTTAGTAACCCTTGCATATCGTGCTCACTCAAGTATTGAATAATTTTTTTATGATCTAAATGTTTGTGGTTTATAAAAAAATGTGATATGTTTTAGTTAGAAATACATTAATTAATATATTCATTCAAACAGCACTAGAATGCGGGAAGAAACATGAGAAAGAGCAATGGTGACAAAATGCAGACAGAATTTTCCGTAAGGGTTTCAAACATTTCTGAACACAATCATACATGTACTTTATGTGTACTGTTATTTTTAGTGCTATATTTAAAGATATAATTTCACGTATTAAAATTATATTTTCCAGCAATGACTTCAAATTCGGAACCACACCCATATCACATTTTCTTCAATAACTCCAAACATGTGTAAACATTGACCATGTGCATATAAATTCAGATTTCACGAGCTCTTTCCTCGAGTACCTCATACACCCCTGCATGGATTTGAGTTGGATTCGCCTTTTATACGTGAGCCGACACACTCGCAAACGCTGATTGGATAAAGATTGCGAGAATCTTTAAGGTACATATAATCAGAGGGGTGACACAATTATAAGCAACAGCGTTTACCTTGTACCAATGTATTCTTTACCAACCTTAACATATTAAACAATAAAATGATTTCAAACTGCAAATTGTCTTTAATGATGAAATGCGAATATACACATTTATCGAAATTTATTTGCCTCGGAAGTTTCTAATAAAAACGTTTGATATATAAGTCAATGTGCCATATTGAACATAACTATTTTTATCCTGATTTAAAGTTGGGTATTGTTTTTTGGCCCACCCTGTATATTTTAATTAAAGTTAATTAATTAAAACTTATTTTGAAAATTTATTTTTGAGCATAAACTGACTACTTCAGCATGAATCATTCCAGATTAATACCAAGTATATAAATATATCAAAACGATTTTCACAAATATGTAATTATTAGTTATCAGATTTATTTAGTTTATCATAACATGATAGTTTTTTAGCAAGTTTAATTCACGAACAGGTAAAGTTCACCAATCCTGACCATTTTATGCCTTGGATTCCTACATGAGACGATCTTTTTTAATAGATTTTGATAACGTTCGCTAATTTTAACGACCGGCGATTTGACCGCTATTATTTATATAGTCAACATATTTGTATTTAAATATGAATAGTAGCAACTACTATTCATATTTGTATGACTTGGTCATAAAACAGTGTCAAGTCGTCAGTTGAATTTACAAATGGTACGTTCCATATACACCCCCAATCCGCAATCAAATTATCAGTGTGGAGTTAGTACTAATTTAGTGTGGAATTAGCGCTAAACTGTCAGTACTGATTAAGTACCAATCGAGCTGTACGGCAGGTACAAAATTCGCACTAACTCAGCGCTAACTCAGCAATAACCTTAGTGATGACTTTGCACCGAATTAGCGTGGAATTAGTGCTAAATTTGTATGAATTTTGTACCAACTTTTAAAAATAATCGGGGATGAATTTTTGTATATTGAATCGATAAAAATGTATTAAATTGACATTTTTATCAAGATCTTGTTTTTAATTAGACCATCAAGGGTAGGGATTTTTAAGGGTTATGATATCACATGATTTTGATGTATCTTGGTTTTTCTTCAGTTATTAATATTATAACCAAACAAGTATCCCAGCTATAATACCATTAAAAACATAATACATTATCTTGTTATATATACCAAATTATAAGTTTATTCATCATATCATTTACTAAAGGAGTATCGTATTGTTTTATTTCCTTCAGATTGAAGATTTACCACAGTAACAGTAAATAACAGTATATTACAAAAGATTCACTATGTACACAATGTACAAAAACTGTCGTTCTGTATATAAATGATGATGACCCTAACTCCCAATAACATACAACTGGTAAATGTCATTGCCTTTACAAGGGTATCAGTTCAAAGGTGTAGGGGTGTGTTTAGTCCATAATTGTTTTTGTCATTCCTTAATCATTCGTTAATGCTAACGCCCTGTCATTGTGCCTTCTTATTCGCCGATTTAGTTCTTCTGATGTAAAATCGTTATACCTGAAATGATAAAAAAGAAACGCTAATTTGAGGTTCCTCACATTTGTATTAAACATGCATATTCATAATTAGTTCAACCAATTAATCCATGATCGTGATTGCAGCTTACTAAGTACATATATATTTTCTATGTATAACATTTACATTTCCTAAATAGCGGTGATGCAATATTATTAAGGGTCCAATTTATGAGACATCAAGAGAACATGCTGTCATTGTTTAGTATCTATAGGTATAAGGCAATCTGAATTAATTCTGAATTAATCAATTAATTTGATAAATCAATACATACCTCGTGAAAGTTGTTCATAGTTTAACCATCCTTTTGGGTTTTTGCTCCACCCCACAAGCTTTTTGTTATCATAACTGATAACAGTTACCTGAAAATATAGTTTTCTATGAACAATCGCAGATTTGCTTAACGTAATAGTTAATGTTAATTAAAGTTCGAAATAATATCTTTGTACAGAGAATTCAGTTTGCATACACAAATTGTTTCCAATAATTTAACAGGGGCCAAAAGTTAATATATAATGCTTGATTATTTTGTCATAGTTAGGGTTGACATATTTACAATTTCATTATAGCCCTGTCAGGAAGCATAGGCTATTAAAATATTGAATTGGTGATATGACATGAGGGCATGAATAAGGTTATGAACATGGTAGCATGATGAAATGAATGGTGATATAACATTGGGGCATGATGATATAAAACAAACATGGTGATATAACATGGGAGCAGGTAATATGAAATGAACATGGTGATATAACATGGGAACATGGTGATATGAAATGAACATGGTGATATGGCATGGGGGCACCTTCCAAAGATACGCTGAATAAGCAAAATAAATTATTATTAGATTTCATAAAACTGTTAAAACGTTTACTCTACTCACCTAGCCTAAATAGCTTTAAGTATGTTGCATTTCCGGTTGCATTCCACATTGCTGATACATGGCCCTCCATCCATTGATTATGTAATTATTGTATTCTTCACTGCCTTCACTCCTCATGGTATGCCAACACCTGACCAATGCCAACATCAAGTCTATAAAATAATAAAAAGGTAGCCTAGAAATGCATTGCCGATAACTGATAAAAGAAAATGATCTTTTAGAGGTCTTTAAAGAATAAAAAATTTAATTTAAAACTGAAATCACTCAGAAATTACATTTTGGCCCATTCTACACTGTCAGACATCACACACTGTGGCTAGTCGATCTATGTGGATACAGTCAGGCACATGTAATGTTTCGTGAGTACCCGCCTCTGTACTTTTCAATGGAAGAATTTTGCACTTCTGTTTAAATAATCTATATTTACTCATCCGTGTATATCATACTTCATTGATTTACAAAACCAAAGCCACGCTATAAACACACATTCTCTGATATTTTTACGGAGAATAGAGTTCATTTAAACGAGTTCATTCGACCAGTTTTATCGTCTCGCTCATAGCTGTGAGAAGGTATGTATAAGTTGCCATAGGTTTACCTTATAATGGGGAATAAAAAATTCAAGTAATATAATTATTTCACGTACACAAATATGTCTGTGTGAAGTAAAATACAAATACAATGCGTTTTATAATATTTTTGGCGTTATGGTATGAAATATCCGCTTTAAAAAAGCAATTTAATTATGATGTATCATGTGGATTAGTAGACGTTCTTAATGGATTCAATGAACAGACTGGCTAGGTTTTAATTGAATCATTTTGAATGTGTGTTTTTTTAATAATTTAATCCATATATAATATTATTCTTGAATTTGGGTCATTTGTTTCAAGGAATCTGTAGACTCGTTCAGCTGAGCTGACAAAATCATCAAGATTTACGGATGGTCTATCTGTTGGCTGCTCATTGTCACTTTTAAGGAATGTTAATGGCTCTGAAACGCATAGCCTTGCCCAAGTCGGTATTTAGTTACCTATTTGATCTTGAATTATTACCACCTTGTACAATCCAATGCATCATCGCTGATATTATTCAGCGGTTCCGAGATTCCCATAATACCTACGCTACCTAAGGTTATCGCGAAACATTATTGATTGACAAGATCGCATGGACACGACCTGTGACTTCAGACTGATTGATCAATCAAAATGTTATCTGTTCTGATCGAGTGTTTCTTGAGAGTTACAATATATTATGTTATTAAATGTACATTGGAATGTAAGCAGTCATTAATACTCGTATAAATGAAATCATGCAATTCAATGTTGATTCGAAATCAAAACTGAATTCGCGATGGATATGCACGAAGACCTAGTCCGGCAATGTAGGACCGTCGTTGATTGGTCAAATTTTACCAACAAAAACATTGGGTCGGTAAAGCATGTGGCTTTCTCTTGGGTACAAGGCGGTTATAATAGAAATCAAGATAAGTAAAAGAGACCGACTTGGGCAAGGCTATGAAACTTGATTTTTTAATCATTTTATTTAACCTAGAAGGTAACAGTGAACAAGTACCATTATAACCCTCTAGGGTTCTACAATATATGCATTACAAATAGCATGTAAACTTAAATAAAACTTAAATAAATATGTCAGATGAATCTCTGGGTGTGTTGAATGAACTTCTGTACGTGAGTGAAAATAGTTAAATTATCGCTGACGGATATGACATCACTGCGATGATTTTTGAATATTTTGTTAAGTTCCGGTAGTTCCCAGTGTTCCCAATATCTCTCACTAGGGTGGCACGTGGGGCAGCGTAAAGGGGACAGTCAAAGAGAAAATGAGAGATATCTTCTTTAAAATAGCCACAAGGACAGTTTTGAAAGTCAATAAGATGATAAGAAAATCGCTGAGCATTCAAAGCACTAAGACCCATACGAATTCTGCTTGCCTTTAAGGAAAATAGTGGATTTTTGGGGTTGCAATGGGATAGTTTGTATTTGTGTTTGAAAGAGGAAGGTAGCTGATGCTTTTGAGTTCTTTGCTTAGATTGTTCCATTTATTTAAAATATAAGGTAAGAAGGAGGAGGAGGAGGTCATTTTTAATCGGCAGTGGGGTAACCTAAAATCATGGATGTTTCTGAGTCAATATCTCTGTTGGGGTTTTGGATGAATGGTTGAATCAGGTCACTTAGGTATTGGGGTGCATTTTTATTAGAAATTTTATGAAACAGGAATAGAGCATGCATTTCTCTTCTTTTCTTTAATGTATCCCAGCCGAGCTCTTTCAAAATATTATTGTAGTTAGTGTGTCTATAAGCTCTGGTACATATAATTGCTGCATCCCTCTGAACTTTTTCTAAGATTTTGCTTTGGTTGTCAGTACAGTTATTGTATATGACATCACAATATTCTAAGACAGATCTTACCATCGAAAAGTAGAGAGTTTCCAAATGTTTTTTTTTTTTTTATCTAGATTGTATCTAAAAGCTGATCTTTTTATTAGGGATAGGCGCCGATTTGCTTTTGAGGCAAGTTTATTTATATGAGAGTTCCAGTTCATTTTGGACTGAAGAGTTAACCCTAGGTGACAATCTCTTCGACATTCCTCAAAATGGTATTGTTTAAAGTTAAATCAGGGTAAAGAGAAAAGTTAACTTTCCATGTTTTGGA